ATGATGATGCATGATGATGATACATGATGACGATACATGATGATAGTGATGGTACATGATGATGATACATGATGATGATACATGATGACGATACATGATGATAGTGATGGTGCATGATGATGATACATGATGATGATACATGATGATGATACATGATGACGATACATGACGATAGTGATGGTACATGATGATGATACATGATGATGATACATGATTACGATACATGATGATAGTGATGGTACATGATGATGATACATGATGATGATACATGATGACGATACATGATGATAGTAATGGTACATGATGATACATGATGATGATACATGATGATTATACATGGTGATGATACATGGTGATGATACATGATGATGATACATGATGATAGTGATGATACATGATGATAGTGATGATAGTGATGATACATGATGATGATACATGATGATAGTGACGATACATGATGATAGTGATGGTACATGATGATACATAGAACATACATAATCCCACTAGTCTGAATCACCTACCTTCTGGAAGACATACTTTGTGGTGTTGTCATCTATCCATTTATGTTTCTTAACTCTGTCTTTAAAAATATCCTTGATTTCTTGGATCATTTTTTCGGTCTATTGAGAAACCACAAACAATACTATCATAAATGATCCCATTTATCCCACACCATTCAAAATACAGCCAATCAGAATGCAGGGGCGCCTTGGTATATTCAGTGTATTCCACACCGGTTCCTTCCCATCAAGCATTGCGTCCTAGGTGTATTTTTAATGTTGTGTGGGGTAAAATAGTTATACTATGCTTTCTCGTGGAGTATTCCACGAGGCACTTGTATTTCTTTTCTATTATACTCGTTCACCATGAGGCTTGTGTGTATATTAGAAAATGCAAATACCTCGTGGAATATTCCATGATATATCACGAAAGAAAGAATTAAAAATCCTCATTTAGTGTTACCTTAGATACACTACTTTCATGAAAAAAGTTTTTGATGTACAAAGTCCCCAGGGGGACCCCCAGGTTTTCATTGGTGATGCTCGTACAGGTCCGCCATCTTGGATCCGTGTCGTGTACCCCTGATATCTTGCGATTGAACTCTGCTCTCGCTTGACGGAACGGCTTTGATAATAGATTGACCTTGTCTCTAATCATCTGCCACACAACGTAGTTAGACAACATCCTAGCAACCAAAACAACAGCAAGAAAATCTTAAAATTTCAGTACAAAATCTTCAACCTTTTTCTTGTGTAACATGTTTTTCCGCGAAAAAACTTACTCTTTTGACGTTTCGTTGATTATGGCTGACATGTCTCGAAGATAGTCAGTGGAGGTTGCCAAGACAACGTCTGTAGAAGTGACATGAGCGCCCTTAAAAATGTACTGTATGTGCTTCAGCCATGGAAACTGCGAAACGAAGGAATAGAATAGTAAAATGGTGTTACATCTTGCCAAAAACACGAAGGAGAATTTCTTCTGAATTGTATCTTGTGAATTCCTTCGATATTAAAGTATGGAAGAGGTTGGTGTTGATAGGGACGWGTTTAACTTGCTTGGATGGGCACCTTCGTATGAGCATCTTGTACTTGCCCCCTTCCCTACCCCCCTCTCCCCTCCCCAAATCAAAGTGACTGACATCACTCACCCCCGGTACGAGTTTAGTTAGACTTTCTAGTTTCATCCTTCTGTAGATTCCACCAGCCTTGTCTTCTGCTGATGTTGTAATCTGAAAGAAAAATATCATAAAACCTGCCGTTATTTGCCCAAAATGATTGCGCAAGGAAAGCAGCCGATGCGAGAAGCAGAACGGATTCCGTAAAATTGTTAAAAAAGTAGGGTACGAACGTCCGTGTCATGCCGTGCCGTGGCCATAACGTTGCGGCGTCGAAGCATTCTGATTGGATGAGAAGTGGGGTCTTGTGCAAGACTCCAGAGAAAACCATAACTATTCGGTATCGAAGCATTCTGATTGGATGAGCAGTGGTCTCGTGCGAAATCCAGAGAAAACCTCCTAAGCACGGGAGATAACCAACAAGCAACACTACTCACTTGATGTCGAGTCCTTGAATCGAACCGACGACGCAGCGAGGCAATGCGGCCTTAGCGGCGCACACTCTCGTGTTTCCAAAAAGAATAAAAACTGTGTGTATATATGTATATGCATAGAGAAAACCATTCAGAACTGTTTGAATGTGAGACTATAGCTACCCAAACCAAAAAAAAATTTTTACAGCCAAAATTGTTTCATGAAATGAGTTGGATATTTGCCACTCATGATCAACGTACCTTTGCCAATTTGGTCTCAAAGTCCATGATTTCCCTCATTTTCTTTGTCGCATTGCATTTGGTTCCCAACAGCTTGGCAACCTTTGCCATGTATTCTACATACGTGTCTACCATCTGCACAAAACATTTGAGAATTAGTCTTTTTTCAATAATTGATATTGGTAATCTAATTAGTTACAGGTAATTGATAATAATTAATAGTCATAATATTCTGATAATATCATTGATATCATACGTACCTCAGGATGCTTGAAGTATATTTCTCTTTGTAGACTTAAGCCTGATTGGTCAATCTGGTTAGGAAGGGTTAAACGTTATATATAAAATATCATCAGTGACACACGTGCAGATCAGTATCATGTGCTCTAAGTACATACTAGGAATAAGTAAAAATGGAAAAAACGCGCACCACACACACACACAAACAGTGGTAAAACGAGTAGACAGTTGGAAATGTCTTGATTTTTTCAGCTTACGTCAATCAAAAACTATCACTCACACATCGTTGGAAATTTGATTGATGTAATTATGACAATGTATGGGTATAAAAATGAGTAACTTAATTTGGACTTGGTCAAATCTTGTGAAAATGAGCGTAAATTTACGAATTTAAAAAGGGCGGGGCTGCCAAAGATAAAAAGTTAAGAAAAAATAGGCGTAACACTGATTAAAGATAACGGGTCAATTGAACCCTGAAGGAACAATTTCACGATGATCTTGTAATCAAGAGGCAACCACGCGTGTGGCCTTTTTCTTAATCTTGGAAGGTTATAGTTTAAAAAAAAAAAACCTGTTGAAAAAGAATCAATATACCATCTGAAATAAACTTAACTCTTCCCGAATCAATGATAAGTTTTGCTACGAAATTGTATTATCAAAAGTGGCAATATAGTTGAAAAATATATATCGTGAACTAAATTATCGCTCTTATGGAAGGTAGGTGCCGGGAGAGTGAAGAAAATGAGGCGATTATCTGTTGCCTAAAAGTGAAGAGTTAAAGATAGATTTTCATGCGTTACCTTGATAAGATGCTTCGTAGAATTCAGATGGTCGTTCGTCACCTCGACTGAGAAGAAAGGCGAGGCCGGATAGTACTCTCGTTGGAGTTTCTTCAACCTACGATAGATATTCCATTCCGATTTATTCCAACTTCCATCGCTGCAAATGCTCCATGACCCTATTTCTCGAATGAAATCGTTCATAGGTTTGGCTCCTTGCTTCTCGATTAAATCCGTATTCATACACGACTTGTAGAAGTATTTTGCTTTTCTCAAAGCTTCATTCTCAGAAAGATCATCCAACGACGAAGGTTTCTCTAATAATTCCCTTAACTCTCCTTCTATTACCATCGAAAGTCTCGTAAAAGTAGAATAATCGTTGTAGCTCTTAGGAATGGGATGGCTTTTTATCCAGTTCCCACAAGAGAATGTAAAGAAGTCGTCGCATGGATCAACTTTCGCGTCAATCGAACTTTGGATTATTTTGGCTACTTTGACGCATTCCTCTGTATCACAGACTGTACCATTTCCCTCTAGTACTTCTCCTGATCCTACGTGATGCTGTTTATGACCTGTAGTAGCTTTTGTAGACTTCAATTGATGCTGTGTGCTCATATTTTTGGTACGAGATATTACATGTTTTGTCTCTGCAGTAGCCATAAAAATGACTATTATACATAACACCCAAAAAATATAAAATATCCAGAGCTGATTACTTCTGACCCCTTTCATTTTACAGCTCTTTTACTAGTAAGCTCTTTTAACTAGCAAAATATATAACCTCTTTCTGGATTAGATTTCCATTCAACAATATAATTCGATCCTATTGAGCGGTTGTTCCAGTTTGGATTTTAGGATTAATATACTAAGATTTAGTTTTCTTTCTGACAACCCATGGAAATATCAACACCGTCATCAATATAAGTATTACTACCATCACACATAGCAAGACATGCTGCTAAGAGTCATTGTTTATATTTAGGGCTGTATGGAACTGGGGATCGTCTGTGATTGGCTGGAATACTCGAACACCTGTTGAAGGGTCACAGTCGCCGTAACGGGACCATACTGAAGTGACTAGATCAACCAATCATGAACGAGTTTTTAAGGATGGATCATTTGGTTTGAGTTTATAGTTTTTGTGAAGTAATTTWAAAAAAATGGGTGAGCGCTTGAGCCGTTTTGCTGTGAACAGGTGAATGAAGTTAGGTTTCAACCACACGACGTAAAAAGTCTACAGAAAAATAAATAATGAACTTATTCGAAAAAGCGTAAATCTCTTTAACAGCTAAACGCGGTAGGAATTGATATCAAGAACCGAAATATGTCACTTAGGGGGTGTGTCTTTAGGGCGTCGTCTCTTCAAGGTCGTTACACGGGAGAATTTCGATGTGTCGATATCATTCATTCATCCATGTCATTCCGATTAATTGGTAATTTAAAAAAAAAAGGATGAATGCTTGTAGGGGTGGGTTTCGGGTTTATGTGGGGAAAACAACGTAACAGAAAACACTTATACAAGTACAATAACAAGACAATCCAATTGTGAGCAGACTATTCTCTTGGTCAGTCTTCGTATTTTTATTATTTTTGCTACTCAGTTAAGCAAGTATAAACAGTGACCAAAAGAAATAGAGAGGGTTGCACGAGGTTATCAAACTTTGTCAGACTGAACAGCAAAACAGACAAACGAAGAAATAACATAAACGCATTCATGGCAAGCTTACCGCCATTACGATGCGCGCGCGAAGGAGGCGGTCAGCGATCGTGTGACAAATATTCAGGTCGTTTCACACCTGAGATTCTAAAATCAAAAAAGTTTCATATACCGCATGAGTCTACCATTACGCCCGCCGACTTCGGAATCACTAGACCTATACTTGCCAATACCTTAAGAACCAAAAGACATTCTTCAAAAAAACCTTGACGTTACCATGACATTCGAAATTCTAGAATTAATTTCGTTGTGATGGCAACTGCAATTCTAGAAACGATTCATATCGTTTCCATGTCAACCAATTATTTTGCGCGCGTCTATATCACTCGTGGTATAAAATACAAGTATATTCTTCCTATTTTATATATTCCAGTACTCCTGAAATAATTACATTCCTTGCGCCATAAGGATCGTTATTAAAGAAGTCATGCGTACCCATTTGATAACTAAAAGTTGATTCAGCTGGTGACCATAGACAGGTTAACGCTGGTCTTCATAGAGGACTTGTGAAGACACCTCGTTAACTCAAGACTTGGCAGAAGTCTGTTTTATATTTTTACAGCATAGCAAAAAAATACAAACTGGATGCCATACAGAGAATGGTCGCCAAAGGCGAAAGTCTTATCAGACGAGGTAATAATYTGTATCATTTTTTCCCGTAGTTTCCATTAGTGCTGTCTTCGTTGCTTCCGATATTAAAATAATACTTTTTTGTTAACATAATGTATAAAACGATTGGTACTTGCTTTTAATTCCTGACAATATTGATAAAGCTGGCTTGCACGAAAAAAAAAAGACTTTAGTCGTAAAGATTTCCTTAAATTTGGCCTGAAATTCTCTAAACTTCCTTTGCTCGACATTTGCGCGTCAATGGAACAATTGTTCTCTAATATTCATGTATTCATTCATAAAATTGAATAACAGAACTAAAGCGCCGATATATATGATTAAGATCATTTTAATTGAACCAAAAAACCATCATAATATAACAATTTGTTTATGAAAATCTTCAATCATTTTGACTCATGATAATAAAAATCAAGCCAATCAAACGTCGCCTTCTTACGAAGTTCGCCAGTCTAAGTCAAGTTCCCGTATGCTCCACGTCATTCTGGTCCTCGAAGCTAAACCAAGATGGCGGACACGAGGCTTACAGAAGATAGAGATAACGATATACGAGAAACAGACCTTAACGGAGACGTTATTCCTGGAGCTATAGGTACTAGTGCTACATCAACTATTGATTATGACGATGAGGTTTCGGAAAACTTTCCTCACATGGAGGAAATGCTTAAAGTTGCGACTGACTTGCAAGGCGGTGCTAGTGTCGATGACCACGGTCCTTCACCAAGACTAGAGTTTGAAGAAACAGGTATAGAAGTGTCTCTAAGAAGTTTGGCTTGTATTTGAACGTTGAGTGAGATTCGGGATTAAATTTGACACGGAAAGAAGTCATGAAAACCTTACAAAATTAGGTTTAGTTTAGTAAATTTGAATGTCAAAGAGAGGGAATTGTACTGGTGTGAGTCATCGAATTCATTAATCTTTCCTTATGAATTTTCAAGTTTCTCTCGTCTTCAGACTCACATGGTTTTGTGGTTGAGATGGTAGGTTATCGACATTTTGTTTTAAAGGGTGCGGAATATCCTTTTTATGAATGTCAAGAAACGTTTTTGAATTATTTTGTCACTTAAATGAAGCATATTACGATATGCACACTCAACGGTTGTGTACTTCCTTCCACGTACTGTATTAAAAATATTACACATTCAATAGTTTTCATTATACCATAATGTTACTTAACATATCTATGTATAGTTTCCTCAAAAAGCTTTCTACTTTATTCAACTCTGTCTTGAAGTTTAAGGTATACCACTTTTTAAATATTTAAGTGGAGTCATTGAGTCAAGCTTTTTCTAAATGGCAGACTTTTGCTTGTGTATTACTTGATAATACTTGAAAGGTATTTTAAAGACAGATGCATGTCCTTACGTGTATGTTTTTCTTATTAAATAATGTCAACTCTAACCCTCACCTATCACAATGATTGAAGTCAACATTTCTGCTGCCATTTGGTGTATCAATGTAACATGTCTGATATATTTATACTTGAACATTACAATAAATCAATTGGACCAGTGAAGAAATGTATTTCTTAAGATGACAACGCCTTATGACATTGCTTTTATTATTTATAATGGCTGTCAAAATTTATAATTTAAGAGTGGCTTGTGTATAGGAATAAGTTAGAGTTGACTCAAGCAAGCTTTATATCTCGAGTGGGTTTTCTTTTTTGACATAATTATGCCTGCTTACCATACCTCTCTTGAACAATTACGGTGACCTAAGAAGTTTAATATTCGCTTTTACTTGCCTCATCAAAAAAGATTTTATTTTATGGCGAAGCCTAGCCTTTCAGCTATGAAATACTCATAATAAAGGTATATGGAACTAAAATATCGTAGACAAACTCACAAACCACTTAACTGAGTTGATTGGTACAGCTGTGTTAGGAAATGAAAAAAAAGTAGGCGGGGTTGATTTCCAAAAGTTAATTTTAAGTTCTTTTATTCATATAGAATTGCTGTGGTTGGTCAGATATTAACCTTTTGATTAGTATGCTTATGTATAAAAGCCTTATCGTACCACAAGTTCTCATGACTTACCCAGGTTTTATTCTCACAGGGCCTACACAGCCAGTATGGCAGGCACCTCCAAGCTATAATGAATCCAATACTATGAATCAACAGCAAGTACAGAACAGTCACTATGGTCATCCTGGTACTCTAGTCCATCCAGCGGGCGGGCAAAAACTAGAGCACCTTAAGAAATGGAGTATATCGACGTACAAATGCACACGGCAGTATCTATCGGAAAGACTTGGGAAGGGCACAAAAACTGTTGACAAAGAAATAGAATCACAAGTTTTACTTTTGAGAGAAACACAAGTGAGATATTCACAAATGCTACGACTCTCAAAACAGATGACTAATCAGTTTCAAGCTATGCTTCAAACGCAGAAATCCTTGGGCGACACCTTTACAGATTTAGGAATGAAGTCACCAGAATTACAAGATGAATTTAGCTATAATTCTGAAACTCAACGGTCGTTGGTCAAAAATGGAGAAATTTTACTTGGAGCTTTGAATTTCTTCAATGCAAATTTGGAAACACTAGTCCATAAAACCATGGAGGACTCTGTGATGACAGTCAAGGCTTACGAGTCGGCGAGAATAGAATACGATGCATACCGATCAGATCTAGAATCCATCCAAGGTGTCCAACAAACACCTGCTACTGCTGTTAGAATTGATGAGACGAAACGTCAGTTTGAAACACAGAAGGCAAAGTTTGACAAATTGCGAGGAGATTTAGCCATTAAACTAAGATTTCTGGAAGAGAATAAGGTACGTACGTAATGAATATATTTGTTGAATATATCTATACCCTCTGCCAACGCCCGTCTACCATTATATATACAGCCACAAATGATTAGCTTGCAAATTTGACATCTAAGGATTCCTTAATTGAATTGAATTCGAACATTATTCATTTGTACTGCACATGTTCTGCCTCAGATCACTAAGTTCATTTAAATAAATCCTTTTGAATCCATTAAATCCTTCCATTTCAATTTGCATCACAGTGCATAAATATATTTAGTATAGGAAATCACATGATCTTGAGTGCGATTCAGAATTTATAGGTACGAGTGATGTCTTGAAAGTTATCAAGATTGAATGAGCCTTTAGGCGATTTCAATTTGACAACTTTCAAAATATCGTGTGTATCTATAAATTCTGAATTGTACAAGAAGATTGTGAGATTTTTTGTTTATAGTACACTCAAAAAATTGAGCCACTTATTGAGACTCTATAGAGTACAATTTGGGATTTAATTGTACTCCTCTTATCCAATCAGAATTGAGTAATTTTGTGTATTGTAAGTAAAGTAATTTTATTGACTTTTACTATCATCTGTCATCAGCATTACAAAGGTTTTCCATCGCAATTTTGTCTTATTATCTTAAGAAAAGGATGTGTAAAACAAGAAAAAATGAGTTATTGAATATTTATTTTGCGATTTTGCCAAGAATTGATGATTTTCTCCAAACAGGTTACAGACAATGTTGGACAAAAGTAGTTGAGAATTTTTCATCCAATCATACAAAAACTAAATAGCACTACACACATCTATTTCTTTTGTTTTCAAATGTTTCATTGGTGCTATTTTGTATTAATCAGTTAGTACTATTTCACAGATACATGGTTTGCACTCTAATATATAGTACAATATAGTTGTTTTCTATTGTTTTATCAGTATGTTTAATACAAATTTGTGCTAATTACATAGTACTGTTTCACAGATAGAGTTTCTAATGTTCATGTTATGTTTATGAAATATGTATTGAATATCCTATGATATTTATCTCAGTTTGTTTTTATCTCAGGTCAAAGTCATGCACAAACAACTCCTACTATTCAATAATGCCATTACGGCATACTTCTCTGGCAACAAACAAGCATTGGAGAGCTGTATCAATGAGTTCCACATCAAGATGAAAGCTAAAGAAGCTGAACATTCTTCTTTCCTAGAGCATTAAGCTTGGAATTCACTCTTGTCGTATCTGTTAATGGATTAGGACCAACTAGAAAAGTTAAAATGATTAATGGATAGAGGAGTTGGAAATTCAAGCCTCAGTTCAGCCACCGAACTCTCCATGCATCAAATGCACACATACAGTAGGCCAATCTTTCGAAATGTGTAGCAGTTTTGATCTAGTAACATATATGATGTATGAGAAGTTCAACTCTTTTAAAAACTGGTCTTCAAGGACTTCAATTTTGCTCAAGTGATGAAACAGTGGTTCCAAATCATGATCTTTTCTTATACTTGCTGTATTTAATCAACTCTTATTTCAACTTGGAGCATATTGTTTCATAGTCACGAAAATGAAAAATGGTCTATTATGTGATCTTTGTAGGGTTTTAATTTACTTAACTTTTATACATTGATTAACAAATGTATTTAAATGAACACAAAACTTTGCCTAAATCGCTTATCATCTGTGCTGTTCATGCATATATCTTTTCAATATACATTTGAGATAAAAAATTCTCTATTTAGCTTAGATGTAAGAAAATATCAGAGTATGAGTACATTATAAATTCTCATAAATAGGTTGGACTATCTAAGAGGTGTATAAAATCGGGTTTATCAAGCTTTACCGGCGTTTGCATTGCTATGCGGCCACCCCAGGCAAAAATCGCGACGTGCACTTTGCAATAGACTGCCGTCAATCAAACATGTTGACGCCATTTTCACGCGTGTGTGATTCAAAAGGCACCAAAACTTGTCGATTGTTTACAAGTAGTATGAGCCATACTCACCTGGCCTATCCAGGCCAATCCAATTGCGTGTAAATGATGTCAACTTGTTTGATTGACGGCAGTCTATTGCAAAGTGCACATCGCGATTTTTGTCTGGGGTGGCCGAGTAGCAATGCAAATGGGGGTAATCTTTCCGCATTGCTACAGAGATTGCATGATAGTTTTTTCTTTGGATATTCAAGAACTGATTGGGAAGGTCTATTTGCCCTGATTTTTATGATAGGTGGTTAAAGGGATTATACAAAACAGTTTTCCATATTCTGTGAACTTGGACATTCCAGCAGCTTGTTGTGAAATTGGTTTTTCACAGGTACCAGTCAAGAACATAAAAGTTACTGACTGATTATTTTTGATTGACGGCAGTGAAAAACCAAATTTCAGCAAGCTTGCAATTACTGAGTTTACAGAATATGGAAAACCATGAAAACAAAAAAAAAAAAAAAAAAAAGATGCTTGTATTGATACTGTCGAATATAGGAATAATAATTAAATCAAGGTTTGCTAAAAATTACACTGTATTCTCACTCCTTTTTGGACTTGTGAACTTTCTTTGGATTTGTTTGCATAAGTTAAGACAGTTTACTGAAGTGATCACGTTTTTATTTTTCCTAAATCATAAGTAGTATAAATATAATAGCCTACTTTTGAGATATGCTTTGCTCTTTACGCACAATAGGTTTCAATGTGATATAACGCTGGGAGAAAATATTTAATTTAATATAGTACATAGTATAGTACTGAAATCTTTGTGTGTGACAAGCGAAGTAATATGTCTTACAGCGCACCTTGCAAAAGTATGACCACAATGTATTCTCATACTTCTATGCACTAGGTTTTTCCTGCCAAATGAGTGTTTGCACACCTTATATTTGGTAAAGCAAGCCAGCTATGCATTTAAATGTGTCAGTTTAATGTACAGGGTTCAGTTGTACGAAGCCTAGATACCGTTATCCAGCGGATAAATCCTTGTCCAGTGGAAAAGTCGATGCTGTTATCCAATAAATTTATTCACTAGATCTATAAGATTTATCCATCAGATAGAGCTATCCAGGCTTTGTACAACTGGGCCCAGAACCTGTGCAATGTAGAAGTATGCAAATACGTTAAATGTAGTCATACTTTTGTGCATTGCACTGTAAATGTTGGCTATTAGTACGCCATTCAAAGGATCTTTAACTCACTAAAAATATTTCAGTGATATAATATTCTTAACATACGTAAGGTAGTAACTTAAAAATTGGAGAAGGAAGTGAATGTTAAACTCTTTAATGTGCTTGTATTTTGGTTTATATTGTGTTACTGGCTATCATAAATTAACAAATTACATGTGTGTTTCCAGAAAATGTCAATGCCTCCAATCATGGGTGGAGCTCAGAAACCCACAGAAAAGAGCAGTTTTGCTCGATTTCCCTGTCGAGACTGTTTGTCAATCAGTGTTTGGCAATGAAAACAGTGGTAGTGTATGTGCGCAGTGTAGTGAAATAAAGAAACCAACATAAAACATCCTTGGGAAACCAGGGGTAAACAGCTTTTTCATATGTTCATTAGCAATGCTCCTGACAAATTAGAGTGAACCCAGAGAGGTGACTAATATATTTAAAAAAAATGCATTTATTTATTTATAAGCATATATGTGTGCTGTGGATGGTGAATTTCCAAATATCCTAAATATTGGAAATCCCCTTGCCCATGACCAATTGGGTACCCTGTGTTTTTGTGGGCTGTGACACATTACGCATGCGTATCAGGAGAGGGTCGGCCAGCCAAGTAAAGCGGATGGGTTGTGGAGGAAGTGCTTTGAGTTCGTCTTCAAAAAAAATGTAAAAAACATTCTTAACCTCACTCTATACTCATTCAGAGACACACCAGAAACTCCTTCATCCATCCACCATGTATTTCACTCCGGAGGACGAGAGAGAGATCAGAATAGCTGTGATGCACAAGCGAGCTCAAGGAAAGAACAAAGTTCTGACAAGCACGAACTGGAAAGAAAGAGTCTTCGTTTTAACTCCTAAAAAACTAACATACCACGAAGGGACAGCTGAGGTAAGGCTTATTTTACACTCATAAATCATTAGCTAAATGTAATAAATCTTCATTAAAGTTTTAACTCCAATTTTTGGCTTTCAAACTTACTTTCAAACTCGCGTTTCTTGCAAGTGGCGGCTGCTCTTTTTGGTCAACTTTTATCGCGACTGCTCGTCCTAAATATAATCACCTACATCTTACCAGCATTATTAAATTACCTTGGTGGATGTTACTATAAAAAGAAGATTTCCAGGGAAATTTCAGGTTATTTCCTTCTCTAAGTATTAATATTTTTTATGGTTTGACATTAATGAGTGATGTTGAAAGACTGACAATGTAGTAAATTAACCTCTTTATACTGTAATGCACTTTACCATAATTTATTATCATTATTCTCATTTTTTATTATCTTCTCCTCACAGGCAAGGTGATTTACTTATTATTCAGTTCGAATTCAATGAAAAATCTTCCAGTTATTGTGAAATTTTTATAATTTTTATTGTATTATTTAAGTATTATTTATTGGAATTAAAATCTCGATCCAAACAATGCCATTTAATGGTTCGTGCTTATAAATTGAAACAGCATTTTTCTGTGCGGAAGTAAGCTAAACCCGTCTTTATACGAGAATTAATAGATAGAATTACCTAAAGATATTGAAACTCCAGAGACTGTGCAAGGTTCTTATGTTTCAACGTCTGCCTCAAAATGCAAGCGTTTTCCCAAATACATTGTCCAAATGTATTGTGCTAGCATATATCGTTATTGATGTAGTTGTTTAAACCAGGGCTTTATAAAACTAGATATGAAAATCGTTTGTGGGAATAAAAGTCTGATTCGATACGATATTATATAGTGATTAGCATATGAAGCTATAGTTAATTAATATTCCCAAATTATTTCATTTTGATGATACTGTTTTAGATGTGTTAACACTTTCTTGTTTTCTAGCTGTTACAGTATTAAATTTGGTGAAACCATTATTTACTAATAATATTTATTGATTTAATAATATTTATTTATTTAATGATATTTATTTATTCATTTTGTTTATATTTTAGAAACGAGGCCGATTAAAAGGTGAAATTGAGCTGTCTTCAGTAAAAGCCGTGGAATGTGTACAAAATGAAGCCTTTGAGCGCACCAATTGTTTCCAGGTACTTTTTGCTAAGAACTTAATTGTTATAAAAGGGGTTCAAGACTTACCATTTAGCAGGTCAAAAATGTAAAGCTTATTTGTGACATCATATCTCTATTGTAAAAGCTGCAGCATTTTTCTGTTCCTGGAAATAAATTGTAGTTCACCTCCCTTATTTTTAATTTTTCCATTTTTCTAAGATATATATAAAATTAGAGTGACTTAGTGAATCACGAAAATAAATGTGTGAATGTGATCTCCAAAATCCTGGAATTAAGAAACTATGTCTTGAAAATTCCATGTAATGAGGCATAAATTTATAGTTGTGAATTAATTTTGAAGGGCTATACATTATTTTATCTCATGTTATGCCATGCTTATTCCAGGTAGTTTATAGTGAGTATGTTTTGTACATTATGGCAAAAAATGAAGATCAGAGAAATGACTGGATGGAATGCATTCAGGATGGTAAGRCTCTTTCAACAATAGTCCCTTTCACAGTTCCTTGAGCCATCTTGAAAGGTAGCTGTGACTTTGCATCAAAGTGAGACGAACGGTAAGCTTGCAATGATAGAGACCTTTTTAAACACCTTGGACAATTATTCACGTCTCTATCATTGCAAGCTCACCRTTCTTCTCGCTTCGATTCAAAGGCACAGCTACCTTTCGAGATGGCRCAGGGAACTGTAAAGGGGACTATTTTAATGCATTACGAGTGAAATATGAATGACATAGTAATGATAAAAGGGTAAATTTTACACTATGAAAAGATGAAAAAACATTCATTTTTTCATCTTTTCACAGTGTAAAATTTACTCTTTTATCATTACTGCTTCATTAGAAACACCGACACAGCTCACACTTAGTTTTTAGCTAGTTATATCTTATGAATGACATAGTGGTGAGATTGCTCACCTCTCACCAAGGCAGCCTGGGTTCGATTCCCAGATTCGCATTGTTTCTGAGTAGAGTTGCAGGTTGGTTCTCGCCTCTGCTCTACAGTGTAAGGTTCTCTCCTGGTTCTCAGGTTTTTCCTCCCTCAACAAAAATCAACTTCTGAATCCTAATTGGAATACAGTGGAAGAAAAACCATTGAGGAACCACTGCTAATTCACATTCATGTTTCATTACGCATACAGTATGGCTCTCTCTTCAATCTTTTTTTATGCTTTCATCACTTCCTCTGTACTGTACTACTAATTGGAGCATAGGAAAAAGCTGTTTYGTTACTTAAATAATTACTAAATATAAAAATGTCTTGTTTCAGAAATTAGAGAAAACAAATTTTTGTTAATGGAATTTCACCCAGGTGCTTACCTGGCAAACAAGTGGTCTTGTTGCAGTGCTAAAGAAAAGTATAATAGAGGGTGTAGTGATACATTCATCAGCATAGAGAAGAAGGCATATTCTGGTGAGTATTGTAATAACTAGCATTCCTCTTTGTATCCTGGATCAGGGGAGTTTGCCCAAGTAATTATGAGGTTCAAAAAGCAGAAAGAATACAAGCAAGAATTACATGTATATGAAGATCTTATTATGAATGCAGACGTAAAATATCAACAGTTGTCAAACTTGTCAAGAAACACCAATCTCTATTTCCATATACTGATATTCTGATTGTCCTTACGGCAATTCTAAATAGTAGTGGAACTATTTAGTGGCCAAAAACCAAATTTCAGCTTGCAAGCTCCAAGCTAAAAATATATCTGATCATGTAATATTGAAATTTGCTCAACTTCTAAATTCTAATTGGAATCCAGAAGAAGAAGAGCCACCCTATGGAATCCACTGTTAAATCCCATTATTTATTTATTATTATTTATTTATTATTATTATTTATTTATTATTACTATATGTGTTGATTAATTATTTAATCTTATGGTGTCATCGGTTGTCCTGTAACTAGTAGTTTAAATGTACATGTACAATTTAACTGTAGTTGTATATTAATTGTACTCTACATGTAGCATGATTTTCAGTAGGACTGTTCATAATGTCAGCCATCAGGTGCTGTACTCCAAGTGGACATTCTCTTGCATACTAATAATGCCTCAGTAATAAGTAATAATTATTATCCAGATAAATTTTATTTATTATATTAAGTAATTTTTAAAGGCCGGTTTAGACGGTATGATTTTCGCCTACAACTTTCATATACAACACACTCGTGCCATCCTACAACTCGAGTCGTAGCGTATAAATCAAGCCCACAACTTGCCTACRACAGACGCGAGTGTGTTGTATATGAAAGTTGTAGGCGAAAATTGTACCGTCTAAAACGGCCTTAAGGAAAAGTAAGGAAATTGAAATTTTGGTGAGGTGGGGGTGGGGGAGTAGGAGAAAGAACAAAATTTCAGAGTTTACAAGTAAGTATGGTAGAAAATTGGAGGTTCATTTTACAATTTCCCTCAGTGGTGTGGGTGTATGGATATTACACTATATATGTGTAATAGTTTTGAGAACCAGGCATCATGTTGTGAGTAGAGTTTGTTGAGTTTCAATGCAAGAGTTATTATATTAAGAGTTAATATATTTACTAAAATTTGAGGTTTTGATATTTTTGTGTATATTCAAGTTAATCAATGTATGTATTGGGTATATTATATGTTGTTAGGTGTGGTACTTAAATGTGTGTACTCTACGTACTGTAGACATGTCATTAAGTCTGTCACCAGAAAAGTTTCAAAAATGAAACTTTTGATGACCTAGATATAAATTTCTATAATTTTAGTTGTCAAATATTTAAAGAATAATTAAAGTTCTTTACAACATTTTTTTTAGAATAAAAAATACTTAACACATTCCAACTATCAGCATTTCCTTCAGCCTTTATACACTCGTGTCGGCAGCCTTTAACCCAGCTATATTAATTTCATAATTACCTTGATCTAAAATAATTATAATTCCCTTAAGATTTTATTTTGTTGGCGGGGAATTTATTTCTTTTTACTAACTAGATAAATAACGTAGGATCCTTTGTTGCTCTTAGGTATGTCTGTATGTCCTTCTTTGACCTAACGGACTGGCCGCTGATCCAGCGATGGAAAAAAGGACAGTAAATATATACCGTTCCTTAAGCACAATGAATATGGAAATAATGCTGTGTAATCATGCTAGATTTTTGTAACATCTGGAACTGAAAGAAATGCTTATAGTTTTAATCTATAGTGGTTTTGCACCATCACGTGATGGAAGGCACAACAATAGTCTTTCTCCCCTGGGCAACTGAATTCTTTATGATCTAAATGAGTTTAGACCAGGGATCGGCTTACCATTTACACCAATCCATCCACTTGGAAATTCATTTGCTAATGGAAAGAAAAGAGTGGGAAACGTGGATTACCTCAATGAGAAGAATGGTACATGCGTCTACCAAAAGAACCGAACCAGGGAAAGAGCGGGAAAAGTTGATTACCTCAATGAGAAGGCTGAGTTTTCTGGAAACTTTCCAAACCGAATGATACATACCATTTATTTTCCAACCAGAATTTTCCAGGTTTTCTGGATGAATGGTAAGCACCCCAGGTTTAATTGTTTCTGCCTCCTGTCATGGCTTCCATCATGTGGTTGTGCAAAGCCTCTATTTAGTAGAGTATTGCACAGTGTAAAGTTGAGTCCTATCGGGTGTGTTTCCACATTTCTATGGTTTCGACAACTTCTAGATTCCATAGTTTTGGCTTCTGTAAATTAAAAACTTGCCAGCTTAGGAGAATATGTGATGGATCAATGAAGCAATTCAAAATGCAAAGTCAAAACATCGTTACTGGAAGATGAAGTTGACAGGGCCACAGAAACAACGGTTCTAATAATAATGGACATTATATATAGGCTAGAGAAAATGGCAGTCATTACATGGGATTCAGAGTATTTAACAGCACCCTTTGTCTTTATTATTGTGACAAATTAATGCTTGTTGTCATGAAGAATGCCAGACATTTCTATGCAGTTAAGAACATGTTTGGCTGATAAGAATTAGCATTGAACATGAAAAGTCACAACGGTCGTYGCAATGAAACTGTCACAGCAACTGCGATAAATGATGCTGCTTAATGCTCAACAGAAATCTGCTGTATCTATGCATAGAACATATTCTTAACTATTTTTTWAAAATTAATTAAGGGGTTAATTAAAGGGTTTTTGGCCATTGAATTTTTTTTTCTACTGGAATTTCCACTATTTTTCTAAAGAACATGCCTGAATCCAATTATATTTTGATTGTTATTCTAGATAGTTGCTGGACAATGTTTATATTGTAGAATTTTTAACAGAAAATTAGATATTTAACATTGTTTAGCATGGGAAGCTAAAGTCTGTTTGATACAGGACATTGAGCTAACATAGTGTAGCATGTATCTTGAATCATAGGCCATTCCGGCTTTGCAAGTGTTGCTCTAGCCTCCTTTGCAGCCGTTCTTAGGGTCGTCACGCAACGTTTCGAAACTTTGCATTACAACCCTAAGAACAGCTGCAAAGGAGGGTAGCATTGCTCTAACTTGCATTTAAATAATGACAAAATCGATGTCAGTAAAACCAATGAAACCAAAATAAAAATATAAAGTTCAATGTGACATTTTGGTTCAACCAACCAAAATGCCACAATGAACTCATAAAATCCCAGGATCTTACATCAAGAGTTTTATATAATCAACCATTATATGTACATGTACTTAAATATTTAGAACCTGATCTGTATTTTAACAAAAAAATAGTAACAAAAAAATAAGTTTAAATTTTGAATAAATAATAATACAGTAGTTAAATAATGAATGTAATGAATAACTAAATGAATCAATTGAAATTATAGCAAATTTAATTAAAATTTAATCAATTTGTGTGCATAAATAAAGCAAGTGGGGGTGGTAGAACTTGATAAGTGTTAGGAGAAGCATGACATGCTTTGAAACCCGTGCTTCTCAACACGTCTCAAGTATTATTTTATGCTTTATGACTGCACACAGCAGAAAAGAAACAATCTTTTTTATTTCTTTAGTAAATAAAAATTAAGGAATGGTCCATGCTTAGCATAATAATATCCAGTTCAAGATGCACGCAGGAGGTCGCTAAGCACTAATGAAGCATAGAGTCTTACACGGCGTAGCCGAGTGCAACTCTAGCTTCTTGAGTGTTTAAGCAACCTCCTGCATCAGAACGAGTGATTTGTAACAGTTATTCTATGAAACATTCTAGAACATTAATTTTTATCAATAATATCAAGTTTTAACTAACAAGTTTATTAGTAGGATGTACATATTTTTGTACTGTAAAATTTTTATTTTTCTAGAAATATATTATTTTTCAAAAACTTGTGCAGAAGTCAATTTGTGTTTTTAAGTAAATTATCTTTTTTCAATTCATGTGTAATGCTTTCCCAACAGGAAGTTTCCATCATGGCGTCATTTGACTACCACTACCAAATAATGCTTTGCAAATTTTCTTTCTTATTTGAATTTGTACTTTCTCATGAGAATAGTCAATTGGTGCTGATTAACTGAACAAAAGAAAGTGTGCAAGGGATTCTGGTAGTAGTAGTTAAGTACTGTTTAAAAAACGAGCAGGAGTGTTTTATCGGGTATAAAACACGAGGCGTAGCCGAGTGGTTTTAGACCCGATAAAACACGATCTGCAAGTTTATTGAACGGCTTAAAAAACTCCTGATGTGTGTTCTCATACTGTACTGAATTCTTTACGAAATGAACTAAGTTTGATAGAGAAAATCCAAGTTAAAGTTTATGCAAATAAAAACGAATCTATATCAGATATAAAACCTCCTTTATGGTCATGATTTCTATTGTGTTTCCTTCATGAATTATTAATGAGTTTTTTAAGAGTCCTATAAYGTCCAACTGCCTGTCATTCCTTGAGTATCCAAAATTTCCATGCTATTAACTTATGGTCTGATATGGGAAAACATTCCATTGTTATTTTATTTTTTCCCATTTCAGATCACACACATAATTATTGTCGTTATCCTCAGGATTTTATGAGTCTTATCAATTCAAATGTTCTTATAAAGCTTTACTACTGTTTAAACTGCTCCATGCTTTTCAAGACAACAGTGGTGACGAGGAAATAGTGCAATGGACTATCATCAATCAAATAAATTGTTCAGTACCCTCACAGCTCTAATTGACAGCAGCATATTACATGATTTCCCTGTTGTGCTGTTGGATGGGAAAGACGTAAAAAGTGTTAGTTAATTGACTTCATTGCATCATTAACTTTTTCTCATTCTGTTTCTTTTTAAGCAAAAGAAAATGTGGCCAAACACAGATCATTTATTACCAACCAACCTCTACCACCAGTGCCTGGACATTCACGAACGGTGAGCTATAGAATGAGGAAATAATCTAAACCCTTTTCCAGGTTATCTCCARTGTAATATGATATAAATGCTACTGTTTTATTATATTTATTGTGACTTGTTCTATAGATTGTAAAGCTGGTATTGTTTTTTGGTATTGTGATGTCAACTATGATGTATAAATTATATTACGCTGAAGATAGGCCTCTTTTCCAAGGTAGAAAATGTGGTGCTGGGGTGGGTCTAAGGGAGGGGCATGGGTGCAACCCCCTAGATGAGATGACCATCTACTGGCATGGGGACAGTCACAAACTCAAAAACTCAAGTTAAAACACCTTGCCTTCTAATTGTCAACTGACAATCTACATGTAGACCCTTTGACCTTATCTGAGGTAGCAAGTTGGTATATGGGCAGATCTAGGGGAGGGGTAAAAGGGGTGCAACCCCTTAGATGAGATGACAATGTACAATCACAAACTCAAGAACCAAATTATAACACCTCGCTTTCAAAATGCCAACTGACAAACCAGATCATACTGTATATGGCCCCCTACCCTCCAAAACCAATTCTTGGATCCACCCCCATGCTCCTTCCTTGTGGTTTCATTGTTTTTTCTAATTGTCTTGTTTTAAGGGCRCAAAGAGGACACCAAAGCCATTCGAAAATGAAAACTGCTTAGAGGTGGTTAAGGCAATTTACGACTTCAAGAGTACAGAACCCGGTGATCTGTCACTAGCAAGTGTATGTGGAAGTTTACTAGTTTTTATACTGTTGCTGGATCATGGCGTTTTAGTATTTTATCAATTAATAAAGATATTTTTTTTGGTGGTGTAATTGTTTGATGTCTTCGATTTTAATTCTTTTTAAGGGAGAGCTGTTTGCAGTACTGGACAAGTCTAGTGATCATTGGTGGTTAGCAAAGAATACTAGAGGGTAAGTAGAATGATCAAACGTGATGATGACAATGATACATCGTGATGGTGAAACATGGTGATACATGATGATGGTGATGATGATGATG